GCCTAAGACTTCTATGATGAGGTATTAATATTATACAAGTTACCAGAATTTTTTTGAATGGAAAAGGAGAGGCAAAATAGCTTTTGTCATACAAATTACCAGAACTAGAACAACATATATATATATATATATACACACACATATATATATATATATATATATACTTTTTTTTTTGAAAGTTCTGCTCAGACCTGACAGTAACATTATAATAATGAAAACAGGATGACTATGGTTCAAACATAAAGACTATGATGAGGTATTATACAAGTTCTAGAATTAGGAAAATATTTATTTTTTAAAAAGCCAGTGAAAAGGATTTGACACCACAAGTTCAATAAATAGATTGTCTGCCAATTCGAAAAGCTACCCTTTTTGCACAGGCACTGATGGCAGTTGCATAAGCCAATGGTGCCACAGCTAACGCACAAGGTGATGCAGCCACCATGAGGCCCAATGCTCGGTAAACTGATCCTCTGCAAGCTGCAGAAAAAGAAGGAAAAAAGTCACCAGATAACCAAATGGTACAGAGAATAGATGATGAAAAAGACACATACATATGGACATTCCTTCTTTTCACTTGCATTAAAAATCATGAAAAAGTTTTACTCTTGATAGTGGGTAAACAGTTACACAGATGTCTCCACAGAGATCCAAGCCCAAGCGTGCACACAAAGTTCAATAACGTTGTTTTAACCCATTTAACACCTCAAAAACATATGCATTTAAAATCCCTTCTTCCTGATAGAAAGGTCTGTGAAGTAATGCAAGAAAGACTGATGTGGATACTGGATAGCAACAAGTAAACACAAATAAAAAAGTATCTGCTCAAGTTAAGATTCCTATAAGTACCTGCGGTGCTAATGAAAGGCCACTTGAAAAGGAATGGACCAAGAAACGCAACTGCAAGAGATAATAACACAACTGCTTTACTGTACTGCTCGCCAAATTTGTCAAGCCATCTTTGAAGTTTTGGTTTACTTAGCTGAGCTTCTTCTGTCAGCTGCACAATTCTGCTGAGCATGGACTCTTTCCACGTCTTCTTCGCCTGTAGAGAAAATCAAAGTTAACAAAAGACTGAATTAGACAAACTAAATTGAGTGCTTCTTAAATAAAACTGCTTTAGTTCAGAGCTCCTCAATTAACGATGTTTAACATTGTTTAGTAAACAAGACTTTAACTTTCAGGTACCTACTTCATTTTACCACTTTGAAGTCACTTCTTGGGCCCTTGGCCAAGCTTTATTAACTTTTGGGATTAAAATTTTTATGGTTTCAAATAATGGTCGCTGGTTGATCTAGGGACTCTAGAATGACATCCCTTTGGATTTGCAAATCTGGGAGTTTTAGAATCTATAATATTGTGGACAATCAAGGAAGTCTCATACTGGATAATCATTATTTTCAATAACTGATAAATCCCCGAGGGCCAGAAGCGCGTGGGACGAAATTCAATGGATAATGAGCACGCCCCCCTACAAGTCAAACTACTATCGTGACTGATGAGCTACCATAAACTTCTACCAAAATGAGTATCAGCGACTCAGCAATCAAATAACAAAGCAAACTAGCTTCTATATCACAAGCACTAGTCTATTTTGATAACTCATTCTGCCAATAAATGTAAAATAAGGAGTTGATAGTAAAAAGATTACTGCACGATTGAGTCGAGGAATATTAGCTTGGGAAATTCTTAAGCAAAAACTAAGAAATTTTCTGTAAATTTTTCTGACAAATTTAAGAGAGACAAATCTCCGCCTTGTCACTAAGAAAAGTAAAAAAGAAGGAATATATGTCTTCTCTTTTAATGCCATCTTGGCTACAGCTGCACAAATTTCTTCACCTTTTTCAATTTAAATCAATTGGGTTCAATCCGAATTATGGACTATTGAAGGGCATACCTTCACTATCAACATACCGTCCAGGTTTCGTGCACCTCCAGGAATACTGTCCCCCTCTTTCTTTTCTAAAGGTTTGACTTCTCCTGTCAAATGCTCAATAGTAATTGTTGTTCTACCTCGGGAAACTTCACAGTCCACTGGTACTGACTGATCAAAGCAACATGAAGAGTTAAACAGGCATAAAAGCTCACCATACTGTACTTCTCAAGTGGTTTGTAGGCCGAGGCGAGATACATCATTTGTGATATCTGGAATTTCTTTTTATTGTGGTGCCGAAAAGAAAAATACAAAACAAATCATAAGCTAGTTAGTTTTTTTTTT